ACAAACTAAATTCAGAAATCAAGGATTTTAGAGAGTAATTAAAAGTTCATGTGCAATAAATATACTTTAAGAATCCATTAGCAAAGGGAGCATTTTCCACAAATTTTCTGCCTACAGTTCACTATGGTTGAAATGTGCTGTTTCTCCTTTGTCTCCTGCTTGGTATTGAGTCTTCTTCTTCAGCACACCCTAACCTGTCAGTCACTTGCCCAGGAGGCTTAGGCAGTGCTGAGTCAGGCCTTTGCTTGCAAGTCCATGTCTAGAGCTGTCCCCCTGTGCTTTTGTCTGGCACTGGCACATTTACCCTGGGGCTACTGGTGGCTGAACTCTGTACTTGATGACACAGTGGAAAGAGGCTTAAAATATTGCAGTAGGTGCAAAAGTCAATGTGTCACTGCTGGTGCTTGTAATTACCTTACGTCAGTAATGCTGTAGTGTGCGGGGCTGTTTTACTCTGCTGCAGGCCATATATAGCCTGTTACACTTTGATCTGCTCAGAAAAACAGAATGGATTCCTTTTGTTTGTAGACAGCAGTTCAGTGAAAGAAAAGGGTAATGGAGCCTGAGGGTATTTGATGGATTGGTGCTAGCTTTGAATCTATTTGCTGACAAGATAACAACCCATATGTGTATTGCCAATGTCAATTTGGTCTGTACTTGTTATTGCTTCTAGGGTGAAGTTGTGGTCTAAACCAGTCTGTTCCGATTTCACCTTGGGAGATGCAATTCTGGAAGGAAATGTGGCCTGGCTAAACTGGTGTGGTGTGCCTTCCTGTGACCCTCTCATCACACGAGTTATTTCAAATAAGACTTCCCTTGCTCATGACAAAAAGGACATAAAATCATAGAATAGTTAGGGTTAGAAAGGACCTTAAGATCATCAAGTTCCAACCCCTCTGCCATGGGCAGTGACACCTCCCGCTAAACCATGTCACCCAAGGCTCTGTCTAACCTGGCCTTGACATATTCTTTGATGGATAGATTGCATGTCTTGTTACTTTCAAATGTGGATCTTCACATTTAAGGAGCCCCTTCAGTACAAATGGAGTTGGTTTGTAACATTCATCAGATGCAAAGGTGATTTAAAATGAGCATATGGAGGCATATGAAAGGCTTGTACTGAAGCTGAATGTGTCTGGGGGTCAAGGAGGACCAACTAATTTATATTAAATACTTGCATTTTAAAACTTCTTTTCTTGACCTGGGGCAAGTGTCCATGAAGTTTGAAAGATAGCATCATCTCGTCCCACCTCATCCCACATTTTCTAAGCAAGTTCACATCTGCTTTATTTACTGTCTATTAGATTTACTGCATTCTTATAATACATTAGAAAAGAAACATATCTTCAGACAAACATGGTTTTAAAATGGGATTATAATTCCAGGGTCTTCAAACACTCATGTTGCAATGAACAAAAGTAGACTTGTCTGATTAATTTTGCAGGGCAGAAATGGTTGTAACATGGCTCATACCTATTAAATCACATACTTAATAACAAGTATAGATTGTGAATGCAAAATTCAAAACTCTTACAGTAAAGTGTAGAATGTGAGACATATTAAAATTCTTAGCATACCAAAGGGTGTGAACCAGATTTGGAAATCTGATAGTGGTTTTTAACACCTCTTTTAAAATTCGGTAGATGCAGAATAATCTAATCAAGATGTATTTCCAAAGTATGGAGTGAAATCTACTCTGCACCCAACTTCTCGCATTCAGGAACTGCACATCCATGAAGTTCTCAAAGAAAACAATGTACAAACCAAGTTTCTTCCTCTTAGTGAGCAGAAAACAGAATGCAAATGCTGTGGTTTTGTAAAATTCTGGTTTAAAAGTAAACCTTGAAAGCAATTGGAAGTACAGAGGCAATCATGCTGTTTCATGTACTATCCATTCTCGTCAAGTCAGTTGATTATGAGTAATTATAAACATGATTCTGATTATAGCGGAGAGCCAGGCCTCATGAATGCTTTGTGTGGCTTTGTGAATTTGCAAATGCAAAGTGTTTGAAACCACTTTAGTGACAGCAAGAATGCTCCAGGGCACAAACACAATATGTTCTACCCCTCTGAAAATAAGCGCATTCCTCGTTTTTAACCTAAGATTGTTTTGATTCTGGTTAAAGTAGATTGAAACAAGGCAAGCCCTTTCCTTAGCATCCAGAGTAGGGAATGCTGGGGAGAAAAGCAGGTTTGAGCTTAGAAGCGGTATGGGAAAAAGGTGTCCTTTTGCTTTCATTGCTTTCTGTCCATCTTTATAGTGTTAACCTGAATATCTTTTAATGTTACGTAGTTCACTATTTTTCCTGTGACTGAAATTTCTCTCATTTAATTTCACCTATTTCTAGTTAGACATCTATAGCAGGAGTCAGTTGCCTAAACAAAGACATGTAGTGCCATTTCAGACACCCTGTAGCATCATATACCTTTTTCTAAGGTACTAACGTAGGTCTGGCAGGTATGACACAGGACTTAAAGCAAATCTTTGTACTTCTGGAGCAGCACTGGTTATGCTAGGGCCTCTCACATGGTACTAGACCCTTGCATTTAAGCCACAGCATAAAAAAATTATCTTGGCTCCTAGTGTGGTCAGAGAAGAGATGATGTCTCTTTCAGAAAAATGGTTGTATGTGCTGTTTTAAGTATCTAGACAAGTCAATCATCCCTTCAAAATATTTGGCTCTTCTTCTACCAGGGAGCCCAGGTGACAGGGTAAGTTTAGGAGTCTATTTTGTGGATGGCAGAAGTTGTTACAGTAAATCATGTCGTTTGTGAATAAAAGAGATGGAAAAGATGGGCTTTTAAAGAGTTTGATTTAGTAGTGTGGTTGAGATTTATTACTTACAGATGAACAGTGGGAAGTCCTGAGGATGAAACTAGCTAAAACTCCTGTGAATTAAAGGTGCAACTTAAAACCTAAATTATAATGCTTTCCTAGAATTAGTATCGGTATATGTAGAATTGGTTTTTAAAGGAATACAGGAAAGCTTTTATTTGTTTAATCAGCCTGGGGAACTGTACTCCACAGTGTTACTGAGAGGCATACCTATCTTTTCATATTGAGCCATTCCTCACAGTTTTAAACTGGCTTGTTAACTGACACCTGTCTGAAGTTGTGATGGTCTGGGGATACAAATGTGATGGTCTGGGGATACAAATGAAGCATGATTTCTGAGAGGTAATACTATGTTATCTTTTATTAGACCTGCTACTCTAACAGGAGAAAACAGAGGAGCATTTAGTGCACAACCCACTCCCTTTGGGTCTGCAGCTTCTGTTTTCTTCTATTATTTTAGTGCAGCTGTTAAAAGGTACTACTCCCTTTACAAGACTAGCCTCATTTATTACTGTCTTAAGGAATGCACATCTATTAATAGTGGAAACGAGGTAAGGAGGTCAGGATATAACCTTTAGAGCTGTCTCACTTCAATTAGACTCAAAATGATAAAAAGATTCCTTTGACATTCTAAAGCAGCTCAGGAAACACAGCAGTGCAGTTTTGTGTAATACACTTTCCAGTGCCATTTGAATACCAACACAGCGATTCTGAGGTTTGGCCAAGTTATTTAGCACGAAGACCCAAGAGGGAGAAAAGGATTATTTGTATCACTGTCATGCGTTATATAGATTTCATATAGGAGGCAGGGTAACACACATCCCGTACCACAGAACAGTCCCTACAGTGTCTTACAGTGCAGGTGGAGGCCTGGAGGCAAAGCACAATAAAGTCCAAACCAGAATCTTTCCCAATTACACAAATACAACAGCTTGCATAATATTAAATATACTCTTTGTTTGCCCTTTTAAATATTCGTATATCATTACTGATACAGAATCCCTCATAGGAGTTCTAGGGGATTCTGGCATTTTGAAACAAAATGCAAGTGGAAGCAAATATATTTCTTGGTTTTGATTTTAAAAGTTTAAGGACCCTTTTTAAATAAGTTTTATAGGAGATAAGTGACCAGCTTTTGGGTCAGATCCTCTAATAAAGAATTTGATAGTGAAGAGACTGAAGGCATTACCTAGTGTGGTCCATCCTACAGCACTGAAAAAAGCCTGTACAAAACCATCTATAGGATATTAGATGTTACAGTGAGGTTTAATCAACATGCAAGTGACTTAATAGTGTTCTGTTGGGTTTGGTACCTAAAGTGATTTCCTATCCATGGGTTGTTTTGACATTGGTATTTTGACTTTGGTATTTTAAGCATATGCAATGATGGTGTTACTCCCTTTATACTGGGAAATCTTGTGTACAGTAGTCACAACTCCTGAACTACGTTTGTTTCTTCCCTGTACTTCTTTGCTTGCTTCTTTGCATGTGTGGGAATATGTCTGCATGCTTTCTTTGTTGGTTTTCTTATGTACTCTTTTCATAGACTATTTATGATGGGTTATGGTCTGCCGGTGATCTCTGGACCACTTGGTGACGACCATTTTGAATCATGAACACAGTTGTCTATGTGCTATGGAAAGGCTGGAAAACATAATTGGTCTTGTTGAAATTAATTTATGACTTTTTTTTCTGTTGAAAAATCATGGTCAACTAATACTAGGATTTATTTATAAAAGTGTCAGTGTGTAAGATGATTAACAGATGAGATAAGATGCAGTCAGCTGGAAATATCTCATTGGAGGACTTCTGTGAGGATTTTATGCCATATTCTTCTATTGAGGTAATCCTGATGAAGCTAGAGAAGAGATCTCTGATTGCAAGTAAGAATGAAAGATCTGCAGCATCCCCTGGAACTCACTTCAGAGCTGGGCTGTAGCAGCTGGTCTGTGAGAGACAGTGACTGCAGGGCACAACTGTTTTGAAAGACTGTTTGGTGTTCCAGGTCTCTGTGTGCTTAAATGACTGTTACAGAAAGAAGGTTAACCATAGTTCTTTATTTTAAAGGTTAGCCTGGGAAAACTGAATTCATTATCAAGGCAACCCAATGTTCTTAGCTATACTAAGCAAAGTAACTGTTGTTTAATGTTTGTTGCCATTGTAGATCTCAATCTGAAGGACTTTAACGATGTATGATCTGGTGATAAAGTATGTGATATTGTTGTCTTCATAAAACTTTCAATCACTGTTCCTTAGATAACAGTTTTCCAAAAGTACAAACGTTTGCTTTGTCAGCTTTGAATGCACAGAAATGTTGAGGCATGTCCTCACAAAGTAATTTTGTACATGAGGTATAAATTGCTTAGTTTCAGTTTCACAATGTGGAAATTTTTTTATGATGATCATAAAATTAGCACAATCTGATACTGCTTGTGCTGATATTTATGACATTCCACATTACTTGTGTCGTGGTTTAAACCCAGTCAGGCAATTCGTTCACTCACTTCCCCCCCTTCTTGCCCTCCCCCTGCTCCCGGAGGGACGGAGAGGAGAGTCAAAAAGAATGCAACTCCCACGGGTTGAGATAAGAACAGTTTAGTACTAAGGTATAACACAAATCACTGCTGCTACCACCGATAATGATAAAGGAAATAACAAGGGAAGAGAATACAACACCTCAGCACCAGCCAACCGATAACTCAGCCCCCCAGCCCGACCAAGCTCTCACCGATACCTCCTCCAACCCCGCAGTCTCTAAGCCCTTCCGGCTAAATCCCAGTTACACCCCGAGCATGATGTGCTGTGGTATGGAATACCTCTTTGGCTAGCTTGGGTCAGGTGTCCTGTCTCTGCTTCCTCCTGGCTTCCCCTCCTCCCTTCCAAAGCATGAGGCTCACAAAGTCCTTGGCCAAACCAAAACATCATTGTTATCAGCTCTGTTCCCAAGCCGAAAGTCAAAACACTGCACTGCACCAGCTACCAAGAAGGAGAAAAATGACTGCTACTTCTGAACCCAGGACAACTTGAAAGATAAGTTTCAAAAAAATAATGAATGATACATTTTTTATTGTAATTTTGTAACTGCAAGTTAAACAGTTGAAATTTAATTTCATTCAGAGCTCTCAAACACCTGACTTTAATTTTAGTGAAATAACATTGTCTTAGCCCGATTCAGCTAGTCCCTTAAAGGAAGCTTTATGTTTTAGAAAATTGTCACTTCACAAAAAATTAGATATATCATATCCTGAGAGATTTAGTAGAATGTGTTCTCACACTTGAGGAATCTTGGATTAGGACAGGACCAAATGTTGTATTATCTCATTCTCCACCTTCATGTCCTAGTTCTTCCAGTTTTTTTTCATTTGAAGAATTCCTTTTATCAAATTAAAAACAGTACTGGGAAAGATGTTTTAGGTGCAATAATATCTAGCTTTTTGAATGATAAAATAACGACGTCAGTTTTCTGGTCCTGTTTCTTCCTTGCTTTCTCAAGCTGGGACATCAGATCTCATTCATTTTTCAAAGAATGATGCCTTTCTGGTGAAGCCTCTCCTTCAGCATGTAGCTGTAGTGCTTCAAAATGTCAAGAAAAACTACATCAGGGCGTGAGAATTCATATACAGCCAGTCTAAAAGGACACTTCAGAAAAGTCTCTTTGTAGCAGACATGGGAAACATGTATAGTGCAGATTTGCTGTGGAAAGAGGAGCTTTAACCATGGAGTAGTGACTGTATTCATACAATTTATCTTATAAAAATCAATAAGTATTGATCCAAGGATAGCATGACTATTTGCATTATATGGCAATATATATATATTGCATAACCATGGAAAATTTGCTACTTATATCTGAATGTGTTAACCTAGTAGTTCAAGCAAGTTAAACACAACTGGAATAACAGATTTTCATTACATATGTGTAAACTTTTGTCAGTTTTTGTTTTTAATGTTCACCTTATGACCTCAGTCAGACAACACAGTGAAATCTGCAAAAGTATTGACATGGGGTGTGTATTGCTTAGGTAATGTTCATTTGCTGTCTTTGGGAAAAGTTAATTGGACCAACGGCGAAATGATCCTAACACATAATCTGCTCATAGCTCCTGAAGAGCTGTGTGGTACCTGATCTAATGGACTTCCTTCTAATCCATGGTCCTGTTTACAAAGGGTAAAGCCAAGCAGAAAGTTTGAATTTCTACAGAATCAGGCAGATTTGAATCAGTTGCATTTATCACGCAACTAGTATGTTTTTCATATACATATATATTTACATTCATATACATATACACACATACGTAAGTTATTTTTCATTTTAGAATGCTTGAAATGCACGATAACTGATGTGATGTCTACTAACACTTTTAATGTCATAAATAGCTGTTGGCACAAATAAGATTTTTATCTCATTGCAATTTCTTGGTAACAAATGTATCAATTAAAACCTAGGAGTCTTCAATGAGGTTCTACTCCTGGAAGATGAGAACAAATGTATTTCTCTGATCTACCACAGTAAAAAAATCACTCAACAGTAACACTGAAGCTATTGTTATCCACCATCTTCATCAAAGTCTTAGGAGGAAAGATATAAGAATGACTTGGTGAGCTGGAAACAAACTTTAAAAATGAAAGTGAGCCAATTTTAGTAAAATAGTTGGTAAAATTATGGATTCTCTAACTCTTGGTATATTTAATCAAGTCTGGATGCCTTCTGGAAAATATTTGGATGAACACCAGTTTTGTCAGCAATATAGATGGCAAACTATATGACATTTATTTCAGTGACATACTAAACAATCTTTGACTCATGGAGTCAGGTCAAAGAATAAATTAAAATTAATCTAGCTATTTTTACCCATATTGCTACATATGAAATGTTTGTGACTTAGTGATTCAAAAATTCCCAAAGCCTCCAAAACCCCACCATCTCTTCAGTGAAGAGTTCTGTGGCACACTCGGATGCCTGCCATTGACTACGTCACAACTCAGCAAGGGTAGGTAGGAGAAATGGGACTGGGCACAGTGTACCTGCTCAGTCACGCTGCATAAAAGTGTGCATCTAGGCTCACCTCCAGGGTAGAACAGGACATGGCATGCCTTGGAACTCACTGAAATAACATGGGTGGGAGAAGAGCTTAAGCTCAGGGATTGGTGCGAGTTGCAACTCATGCCCCAAATATAGTGTAGATCTGCCTTATGCATGATTTTGTAGGTTCTGGAAAACCTGGAGTGGTGAACTGTCAGTGATAAAATTTTACAGCTCAGGATTTACAAGCCATTGTCAGGTCTTGCATTTTCAGAGTAGTCGTTTGTGTTTATTATATGCTATCTTAAAGCATTACATGTCCATCTCTTTGTAGTCCAGTGGGCAGCCATCCCATGCCAAGTTCATGAAAACTGTGTAATTGCTTGCTGTCTCTAGTTTCCTTTGCAGACTATAAAAAATAAAAGATGGTAAGTCATGAAGTCCATCTCCTTGCTTGAAAATGGCTTGAACTGTAGCAACAATAGCCTTAAGAACCATGGATGGAGAATTATTGGCTGAAAGTAGGATGAAAAGGTTGTAAAAGATGCAGCTATTCTTTTTGCTTTACAAAAGGCATTGAAATACACATTCAGACAATTTTGTATGGCTTAGAACTGGGTCAGCTGCATACGCATGAGCAAATTTGATCACAGCTCTGGGTTTGTTTGCTCAGTTGCTCCTGGAAATCCATCAGTATCTATAAAAATGCACAGTAGTACAGCAGATAATATCGCAGTACAGGGCAACTTGTTCTCATTCATAACTGAATGTTCCCATGTATCATCATCAAAAACTCATGGGCATAATAGGAATAGCAGGAGTCAGAGCTTATCACAGCACAAAACCATGGTCTTGTGGTCATGAATAATAAACAACCTGTATCTGAGCATGTGAGTCATATCCTCTGCATTTAGCACTTGCAAGATAAGTGGTTGGTTGCATCATAGCAGCAACTATGTAGCCAGAAGGTACTAGAAGGTACTCATTGGTCATCTTAACAGCCACCAGAGTAATGTGGGTTTTTTATGTACTGAAGGTGCCAGTAGAACCATGTTTAAGTGAAAAGTAATAGGCTGTGGAAGGAAGGCATGGAAGGCAAGACTGAATGTAGTTACTTTTATTTAAAACTTATGAAATATGAAAGATAGTGTCAAAGCTGTTCATTTTCTACGAACAGCAAACATGTTCTCAAGTCTGCCTTCATCAAAACTCTCATCTGCTTAATGCCAACTGTTAGGCTACTGGGCTGGTTCTAGCAAAAGCTGTGTCTTGTTCTTTTGTGTATGATTTGTGCAGATCCAGGAGTTTTTCCAGAGAAATTCTTTTTCATAGTGGCTGTTGTGGTTTAAGCCCAGCTGGTAACTCAGAGCCATGCAGCCACTTACTCACACCTTTCTTCTTCCCCCAGCTCCTGGAGGGATGGGGAGGAGAATCGAAAGAATGTAACTCCCACGGGTTGAGATAAGAACAGTCCAGTAACTAAGGTATAACACGAATCACTACCGCTGCCACCAATAGTAATAATGATAAGGCAGGTAACCAGGGGAAAAAATATTGAACTAAAAGGAGAAAGGAAAAATAACCCAATAAACACAGTGATGCACAATACAGTTGCCACCACCCACTGACTGATACCCAGCCTGACCTGAGCAGCAGTCTGGGCCTTCCAGGTAAATTCCCCTAGTTTATGACCCCTAGCGTGACGTGCTGTGGTATGGAATACCCCTTTGGCTAGTTTGGGTCAGGTGTCCTGCCTCTGCTTCCTCCTGGCTTCTTGTGCCCCTCCTCACTGGCAGAGCATGAGACTGAAAAGTGCTTGATTGGAGCAAGCATTACTTAGCAACAACTAAAAACATTGGTGTGTTATCAGCACTGTTCTCAGACTAAAGTTGAAAACACAGCACTGCACCAGCTACTAAGAAGGAGAAAAATAACCGCTATGGCTGAACCCAGGACAGTGAAATGATGGTTTAGTAGCTGTTGCCTTAATGGCATGGCCCATGATATAAACATTCTTCAGGCAGAATTGAGATAGCTCTTTGTATCCTATGTTTTGCTTTTGTTTCTTAAATTCTTATGTATTCTCTGTTTTGGTTCAGCCCCTGGCTGGGAAACCTGAACTCTTCCAGTGACGGCTGTGTTAGCTGGAGGTTGTTGGCTGCACCTGCCTGAGATGCTTTCAGTGTGGGGCTGGGAACTCAACATTGTGTGAAATTCTCCTCAGTACTTTAAAGGAAATTCCTCTAACAGGAAATTGGAGAGGGAGTGAAAGTCTGCAAGACTGAACCAGTATTTGGTTTGATTTCATTTTCTGTGTGAGTGCAGAGTTTTTCAGCAGAACAGCCAAAGACTGGCCATGTAATAGTCGATGGTGCTGATTCTTAGGGCCTCCTCTCAATTGTTCCTTGTCCTATAAACAGTACTGAGTATCCTTCCACAGCACCATACTTTTGACCAAAGAAATACAATATTAGTATAGAAACAGTTCCAGGAGCTTCCTAGAAGTGGCAAATTTTTGATGGCTTTAGTAGTATGTGCACAAATTACATATCTATACAGTTGCTTTACTCAGTGGCTTTACTTGGCTGCAGCTAGCAGAATTAAAAAATTGCTGAATGCTATGCCAAGTATGTTTGAATGAGTTACTTTCTCTAAGGCAGCCATCTCTGTATTTATATGCAAGAATTGAAACAACTTTTCCCATAATATCTCAATAAGAAAAAATGATATTTCTCTGTTTATTCTCCAGCTGTACATTGCTAAAGATGTTATTTGTAAGTCTGTGTATAACTCCTGCCTTCAGGAAAAATTTCCCCTCTTTTTTCTGTTACATAGCTGAGGACAGTGGAAACAAATGAAGAATACATTTTGTATCCATTCACTGCTACTCAGATACTCATTTTTGTAACATGCCACATTAATTCTTAAGGGTTGGGATTCATTGCACTAGCAAGAGTTGTTATAAATGTTCTTTACTGAGTATTTATTGTCTTTTGTATGTATTTCATATGCATAATGCATATGCAGTATGCTTATATATAAATTATGACTAAAGTATAGATGCCCTGATATTTCAGATACTTCAGGTACTTGGAAATCCAAGGAAAATCATATATTCCTAGTAATATTACTTCATCTATTTCTATGCCGTACAATAGATTGTTATATTGTCGGTGTTCCACATTGTGAAAACTGTGTATTGCGTAGGCAGCTGCTGCAGGAATCAACTAAACGCAGATCAGACTGTCCAAACTAACTGCTAAATAGAAAATAAATGTAGCCTAATCTGGTGGGTTGGCCCTGGCTGGATGCCAGGTGCCAACAAAGCCACTTTATCATGCCCCTCCTCAGATGAACAGGGGTCTTGGCCAGCGGTGGGTACGTCTTGGATCTGGCTGGCACTGGCTCTATCGGACATATCGGAAGCTTCTTGCAGCTTCTCACAGAAACCACCCTTCTAGCCCTGCCCACTACGAAAACCTTGCCATGCAAACACTTAGTTAAGCAACGTTCTGGTAGAAGACAATAATAGTGTTGGCCTTTGGTCTCTAATTTATTTACTCTTGTTTTACCAAGAGAGTACACATCAAAGAGGTTCCCTCCATGTGCCATCTGTTCCCTTGCAATTGGGAATGGTAGAATAATTTTCTGAAGAATTGCTGACAAGATGTGGCAAGGGAACTGTAATCCATAAGGATAAGATTTCTCATTAAAGTCAGTCATCTCATCTCTGATATAGCAAGCTCTTAATTTACAGTGGTCACCTCTGGAGCAGGGAGGACAGTGACTGGTAAGTTACATTTCTTATTGCACAGGCTAATGGTGAGGTTCTTGACAGCCACTGGGATTGCTGTCAGATCAGTTTTCACAGCCTGGACACACTTATCTAAATGAGATTATTCTAGTTAGACAGTTTATCATGATAACAGATGTGACCATAGATGCCTTTTGACCTTAGTTATTTCATGATGTTTTAAAGTTGGCTGGCTGTTGTCATATCGTTCCTTAAGCTATTGCTAGGAAGGGCAAGTGGACTGAACAAGGCCCTTCATGAATTAGAGGAGAGCTCTCTGTTTGACCTTGTGGTAGAGATCTTTTTGTGTGTGTGTGTGTGTTTTGGTTTGTTGGTTTTTTTTCCATATGTGCCTCCTGGTCTTCTCTCATGAACAGAACTGTACTGCAGGTTGCTGCTTCTGCTCTTGCTGAGTGGCCAGTTTATGGCATACTGGTACAGCTGCACATGTCATCCAGCTGACAATAGTTGCAAGCAGACAAAGGAAATTGCTCTAGGTCAACTTAAAAATTAAATATCTGCCATAAAACCTTAGGTGGAGTGGAAAAGACAAGGAATAGTATGATAGAAATGAGAGGTGGAATCACAGACATGGTGGTCATCTAGACCAGCCTCCTGCTTAAAGCAGCTCTTGGAGGGCTGAGAGCACATATGCAGGAAATATACCTGGACTAATATAGAAAGGAATGTTCTCTTCCAACTGAGGAGCCATGTTGTTCCACAGTAAAATGAACTTTTAAGTTATGACCAGCTCTTACACATCCCTCTAATTCTATACATCAATATTTCACAATAAATGGCAGCTGTCTTTTCAAGAGGGTCCTCAAAGTACTTCAAAGCACGGAGTAAGTTAAACCTCTATATAGTGTGAAAGAAGAATAATTCTCTAGAATGTGTAAAAAAGAATAATCCAGGTTTATTGAGTAAATCATTGGCTGGAATAAAGGAGTTATTTTTCCTTTTCTGTATAAGGAGCCTTGGGACAGAGATCATTTCCTACCTTACACAAATCTGAATAAAGTAGTGTAAGAGCTAGTCAGCTTTCAAGAAGAATTATGCCAATATTGCCAGATCTCTGTGTTCCTTCTGGCTTATCCATTGTTAACAGGAGGAAACCAAATGAAAAATCTAAAGTTGGCATTTCAGCCTGAGCCCTGAACAATCTAAAAGATGTCCTTAGTTTCATGTAGCAATGTAGTTAAATGAGCTAGGGCATGATTCCAGCCCAATTTATGTGGTTGGAGAAGCACTTCCAGTTTGGTGGCCTTCTATGATGGGGCTACAGAACTGATGGACAGGGGTAGAGCAGTTGATGTCATCTACCTGGACTTGTGTAAAGCATTCGTCACTGTCCCACACGACATCCTTATCTCTAAATTGGACAGACATCAATTTGATAGGTGGACTACTCGGTGGATAAAGAACTGGCTGGCTGGCCGCACACAAAATGGCTGTGGTCAATGGCTCAATGTCCAGCTGGAGACCAGTAATGAGTGGTGTCCCTCAGGGATCAGTGTTGGGACTGGTCTTGTTCAACATCTTTGTCTCTGACATGGACAGTGGGATTGAGTGCGCCCTCAGCAAGTTTGCTGATGACACCAAGCTGAGTGGTTCAGTTGATACGCTGGAGGGAAGGAATGCCATCCAGAGGGACCTCAACACGCTTGTGAGGTGGAATGATGCCAACCTTACAAAGTTTAACCATGCCAAGTGCAAGGTCCTACTCCTGGAGCAATCCCGGGCACAGCTACAGGTTGGGCAGAGAAGAGATTCAGAGCAGCCCTGCGGAGAAGGGCTTGGGGGTGTTGGTTGATGAGAAAATGAACATGAGCCAGCTTCAGTGTGCGCTCGCAGGCCAGAAGGCCAACCGTATCCTGGGCTGCATCAAAAGGAGCATGACCAGCAGCTCAAAGGAGGTGATCCTGCCCCTCTACTCTGCTCTTGTGAGACCTCACCTGGAATATTGCAGTTCTGGTGTCCTCAACATACAAAGGACATGGAACTGTTGGAACAAGTCCAGAGAAGGGCCACTAGGATGATCAGGGGACTGGAGCACCTCCTGTAAGAAGACAGGCTGACAAAGTTGGGGCTGTTCAGCCTGGAGAAGAGAAGGCTGCGTGGAGACCTCATAGCAGTATCTGAAGGGGGCCTATGAG